AACTGCCATTTTTTTTTTTTTTTCATGTTTAATTGTGCTTCACCGTGCTGCCGAAGGAAAAAGTGAAATGGGGGGGCATTTGACGGGCTGTCAGGCTCGGAGTTTCTGAGGCCCTTGTATGTTTTTGTACACTGACGGCCGCCCGTCAGGATAATGCCGGCTCAGTGAAGGGGTCTGTTTTTTTTTGTTTGTTTTTTTTTCCAAGAGCCAGTTCTGGGCTCCCAGGCATCGCCACAAAGGGGAATTATGGGTTATAAAAAAGCCTTTCACGTTGCACATTTTATTTTTTTTTGGCTCCGTCTGTTGAACCGTGATGCGTTCTAAGGTGAATTTCGGGGACTGTTGCACATTGCAGCACAAGCCTTATCATTTTTCTAGCCGCCTAATGGTTAGAATTTAGACCAGGGGTGGGCAACTCCGGCCCTCCAGCTGTTGTGGAACTACAAGTCCCATGAGGCATTGCAGGATGGACAGGTACAAGCATGACTCCCAGAGACAAAGGAATGTTGGGATTTGTAGTGAAAGCACAGCTGGAGGGCCGGAGTTGCCCAGCCCTGATTTAGACTCAATTTCTAACAATGTATGGCCAGTTTTTAGTCTTTGTCTTAAAGGAGTTCTAAAGTCCCAGCACATCCTCTCCTGTTATAACATCAGCATTGTAATAGCCACACAATGCAATCAAAGCTTACGTGACAAGAAATCCCTTTTCTGCAGTGAGCGCTACCTTCCATCTGCCCGTCACTTCCAACAACTTTCTGGATTCCCAGTGTGCTTTGTATCTCTTTCCCTGCTGCCCGATGTGATGCAATCTCAATTTCTCGAGACTACCTATCCCATCATGCATTGCTTCCAGCAAGCAATGATAATGTTGCATTGTTCAGAGGTTGAGTTGCAGGTCAGAAGGCAGGCTCTGTGAGAGCGGCGACGCAAGGAAATAAGTATGCACATGGCTGAGTGAAATGGTGTCAGTGCATTGACCAAGTGCATCCTATGGGCATCTTCAATAAGTATGTTTACAAACTTCTGCATCAATATGGTTATAAGGAGCGGGATAGAACTGGAAATGCAGTATAACAATACAGATTTATAGTTTTGACCATATACATCCTTTAGGGCGCGTTCACGCCAATTGCAGTGCGTTCCACAGCGGTAGCTGCTGGAACGCACAGCAATCGCACACCAAACTTTGTTCTGGGATAGGAAGGTGTGGCAGTGCGTTGAAGTCAATGGCACCGCAGCCACGCCAATCGCCTGCAGTGCAATTGGACGCATGGCAAAACATTGCCTGCGTTCCGGTCCACTGCGAACACAAAAAAATAGAGCATGTAGCATTTTGTGTGTGTTTGCAGTGGACCGGAACAGAGGCAATGTTTTGCCACGCGTCCGTTTGCACTGCGGGGGTGTGGCTACGGTGCCATTGACTTAAATGCACCGCCCCGCTCCAGAACGCAGGGGGGAGTTCAGTGTGCGATTGCTGTGCGTTCCAGCAGCTACTGCTCTGGAACGCACCACAATTGGGGTGAACGGGCCCTTAATAGAACTTGTTGTCATTGTTCTCATTAGATAATGGATTATAAGGCCGATATTTTATAAGGTGTCGCACTTGCGTATCGGCAACGGAAGGACACTGCAGCTTCTGCACTTTACCTCCGCATAAAGCAAAATGCTTGATTTGGCTCCATATAATTTC